CCCCTTTTGGGATATTAACATGTTCTTATGCATAATAGAATTGTAAATGGGCTGATTTCTCAATGTTATGCTCATAACTGTGCCTGAACTACAACAGGGATCTGCTGCTTTTTCTTTCCTAATCCACAATCGTCATTTTTTCCTCAACTTCTTTCGTATGTTTGTTGCACTCTTGTGACTCTCTATTGCCGTGGTGCCTTGATAGTTGAAGCAAACTTTGTGCTGTTGAAGCTAGAGAGGTTTGCAGAGTAAGGCTGATTCCCTGCAAAAACTTCTCTGTTGACATCCACCCCTTGGCGCTCACATGACATTAAGCAGTTGCGAGCGCCGTAATACCTTTACTAAAACTAAAACTAAACTAAAACTCTTCTGATAGGGAACCAGGTGATACCATTGATATCTATCTATCTATCTATCTATCTATCTATCTATCTATCTATCTCTATCTTTGTGAAAGTTCGTCACTTTGGTCGCTTAAAAGTTCAGAACCACTTAACTTTCAAATCTGGAAAAAAAAACCCGGTGGTTCAGAATCATTTAAAGGGTGTACAGTTATATCAAGGAGTCTGGAGTCACTGTAGTTCAATTTTGAGTTTTCATTAGTTTCGTATATACGGGGTGCCCACTACGGATGGGATCGGCCGGTCGCCTAAAAATTAACTTGTTTGTTTTCAGTTTCAGGAAACCGAGTCGGGCGATAGGCCCACCCAACCCAGCAGTAGTGGGCACCCCGTTTTAGATCTAATCTTGGAAAAGTCTTTTAAGACACCATTCTGTAGTCGTGTACACTGACATATGTGAAGCATCGCGATGTTATCAGTCGCTCGTCAAAATGATGAAATCGAATAAATAGGTATGTTTCGACCAGTTTGGAATATTAAAAGAATTTTTGTTTTTTTTGGTTCAGCACTTTGTATGTCATTTCAAAAACATTCTTCTGTGTAGATTTTATGAAAAAAAAATCTAACTATGGAAGTCACCCAAATTTGGCGGCCATTTTATCGCTAAGTTTACTTCTGAAACCAGGCGACCCCTTCTCTTTTAATGTCAAATATCTCGACCTCTATTCGAAATGAATGGGTAGGTTTTAAAAAAAAATTCAAATACAAGATAAACGAACAGCCTTTAAGATGATACAACCAATAACTCCATTTACCCAAA